TTCAATCAGCGGTTGTTAAAAAAAAACACCTGGACGACTTGTGGTAATTGACCGCAATTATTTTCGTTTGCGCATGCGCAGTGTTAATCGTATGACTTTTGACGGACGCAAACGCCACCAACCATGCAAACATCGTACGATCGACCAAAGTTTTTAAACATGCTTGACCGTCAAAAGTCGTACGATTGTACAGTACTATCGGTCGGGCACTCTATTCACACGTTACGATTGTCGTACTAAAAAAGTCGATCGCATACGATTATCGTACGATAATCGTAAGGTGTATGGGCACCTTTAGAATTATGACCAATTCCTTTGAGTCACATGAAATTCTAACAGTGGGTGGCCCTGCAGGCTTGACAAAAGCCAATTACTCAATTCACTTTAGTCAAAAGAGCCAGATCGAAGATTTCTAGCCGAATGCTGGGCACACACCTGACAACCATCGCAAGACTTTTGTCTTGTGATGGTTGTAAGGTACTTAAAAAAAAACGTACGATCTGCCTATCTTGCATAGGCAGATCGTACTTGCGATGATCGCAAGCCACGCCCCCTAAGGGGCGGGCTTCCGTTGACCGCAGTGTCGAACAGGCAGTGTGCGCTTGCGGGTTTTCAAACATGTTCGTAAGTTAAAAGTTGTGCGACCTTACAGTAGTAGAGGTCGCACGGCTTCCACACACCTTACGATAATCGTACGATCACGGGATTTCCCGCGATTATCGTACGATTATCGTAAGGTGTGTGGGCACCCTAACAGTGACTGCAGTGAATCAGCTGAAGTCACTGTTCATGCATTCCGTCAGATATGCCCAGCTGCCAAAATACAATAGCCGCAGCGGGAGAATTATCCACTCACACTGTATAGTGTGGATGGGGGAATCTATTAGCTTTTTCTTGTTGAGCCTGAACCAATAAAAAGAAAATCGAAGTGCATGGCCAGCTTAAGAATCCCCCTGTTTTTGCTTCATCAGATCTGTGCATCTGTGCTTTCTACAAATATCCTGCTCCTTCTTGAACCCCTCTTCACGTCCCCTCTTATGACATACCATTTGCCTGTAGAGTTAAGCAAGGTATACACGCTTCGAATTTCGGCTGATTCTTGATGAACCGCCCGAAATATGAAGCGTGGGTGCCGCTGCAGCACCTTTCCGACTGGCATCCCTCAATCAGCAGACAGCCAATAAGCTGCTCGCTCTGTTTGGGTATTCTTACAGCGGGCAGCAGTGGAAGATTCCTCGAAGAACTGTAAGAATACCCAAACAGAGCGAGCAGCTTATTGGCTGTGTGCTGATTGAGGGATGCCAGTCGGAAAGGTGCTGCAGCGGCACCCACGCTTCATCAAGAATCAGCCGAAATTCGAAGCGTGTATAACTTATGCCTATAAGCAGTAATGGAGGAATCTGTTCTATTTTCTTTGTTCAGCCTGCAGGTTGAACGAAGAAAATAGAAATCTGTATATCCAACTTTAACAAGACACTTAGTGTGACTGTCCACAATACTTCTTTCACATGGAAAAAAACTTTTACGCAAAATGCACAGCATGCTGGAAAATGTGTTTAGGAAAGCCTATACGTGTAATTTAAGGTAGGCTTATTTAAATAACAAATCACAGAGTTAAAAGGAACAACTGTTGCTGCATCGGCTAGAAGAGAAACATGATCATGGCAGAAACTATGCTGCAATGTTCTGCATATGAGCTGTGTCTAATCAATCTATGTGATTGACCCCTAACCACCAACAAAAAACAGATTTGTGCTGGCAAGAAAAATAATCCTCATAGACACTATCGGAAAAGTAGGAAAAATGGATGTGCCTGAATGCAAGAACACCATTTATCAAGTCTGTTATAGCACATGAAACAGATCAGTCACTGTATACAGCACAGCCTTCATAGCAGCAATTAACAATGAATACATATTTTACAACCCTTGTCCTGCAAGGAAGGAACCAATTTGTACAAAGCACTCACTGTGGGATGGCTATTAAACAGAAGTGAGGAAATTACCAGTTATGGTTTAGCAATTCACACTTAAGGGTCACTTTTTGTCAAGACTCTGACCCCCTGATCCCTTAACTCTTTCCCCAGCTGAATTCTCTGCCTGCTTTGCTGGAGACTGACCGATTCGGATTCCATTATTAGGGATTACATGGACCTGCTCTGCATGTAAACATAAAAGTCAGGACAACCACAACACACTTCTTTCAACACAGAATTCTTAAAAAAAAAAAAAGAAACCATCAAGTAGAAAAATTCCAAAGCCAGAAAGCAATGGCTAAAGGGGAAATCCAAGCATTTCAAAATATACTACTGGCTGAATGAAGTAAGGGACCTCAATGGTTAACTTGAAGATGTAATAAAGTTTTGTCAGAGTCTTTGTAGATTTGAACTTCTGGGTAGCATTTTAAAGGATGTGTTTTGAGATTCCTTCCAGTTCAAAACACACAAAACTAGATGGGTAATGGGTTGCATTTGGACCAAATTATGTATACTTGCTACTCACGCCAAGGGTCCCTTGTCTACGTTTAAGAAGCAGGTCTGTACCAAACCACCTTCTTAATCAATAGTATAAAACAACACTGAGGCTGATTGCCTGTGTTTGTGCATTTTGCAACTGAAATTATATTCCTCCATTTTCTATTTTAAATATGTTGCTGCATCTGATTCCCAGGCTTCCCTGGTTCTGAGCCATTCACTACCCAGAGCAAAGCCAAGGTGAGTAAGAGATACAGGGAAGGAGGGACATTAAGCATGTTTAAGGCTTTTTTTTTTATTGTTAAAGGAGCAATATTTGAACACAACTATATCAAACTATATCTAATCATTTAGTACACTGTAAATGTAAAGGAATTTATATTTATTCTAATTGTAGCCTACTCACGTCTATTCCCTTACTGATGACTCTTCTCCTAGCACAGTCTGAACTGAAGGCGACTAAAATGAATTAGATGCAGAAACAGCTTCCAGCCAGTACATTTCACACTTTTCCTTCAGGGTCCCCCTACTAACCATGAGCATTTCCCTAATAGGAGATACTATCCTAAAGTATGGGGCTTCAGTGATATCCTTTGTGAAGTCGGCTTATCTACACACAACTTTTTCTAAACAAAAAATCTCACATCTAGCTAGTAAGCCCCTAATGCATATCCGCCAAGTCAACTATTTTCAATGAAATGCACAACATCTCCATCCCAAGAAGAAAAACATTTCTGGGAAAAACAATGATAATTTGACAGGGTGCAGCAACTAGAAAGTATTAAGAATTTCAACCTTGGGACCTCACCCAGCAAAAACTTGTGTCAGTGACTGTGGCAAACCAACATTTTCCTGCAATTAAAAACAAAGTTTTCCTCCACCTGGTGGGTATTCCAACGAAATCTGTGCACTGTAATTAACTACAAGAAGCAGATTCAAAGGCTGGTAGTACCTTGAAGATGCCTACAACCAAGCACGAAAAGAGCATAAAAACTAAACACCCTTGTTGTAAAGATGTAGCGAGACAGACTCATGGAAGAAAATAGAGTAGAGGAAATCGACCCAAAAAAAAAAACCCCAAGATATATCTCTGGTCAAGCGTTAGCAGTATGACAATAAAGCTGGGCAGGAGTCAGAGAATATAAAGTACATCAAACATAAATCATCATCTACCAGTTAAAATTCCGGTGCACACATTAGGGGGAAAGATGGCCAGGCCTCAGCAGAGTTTACACAACGTGAAATGTCCCATGAGCACTGGAGCGGTCTGTACCCAGAGACAGAGATTATGTAGCATTATGCTGAAAGCCTAGATCACAGATTTCAATTTGTATATTGTGCATAATTCTACTATAATATATATTAAAATAACTAAAATATTTGAACATAATTTATGTGAATTTAGAAAGAGATGTAATAATAGAAGAAAGCATCATCAAAGCAGGAGGCTTAGAGGGGGTCCCATTTTTAGATAATTTTTTAGCTTAAAGTCACAGAGATCTATATAGATCTTACAGAAATAAAAGACAACTTGGTCTTTTCCCTCACATGGGGGCATTTACTTCAGCAATTTACTGCCACAGTTCCCACTACTTAAAAATCTGGTTAACTCTTTAAAATACCTCATTAGCTGAGAGCATTCCTGATGAGCTGCCAAATTAGCACATGCTCCTCTACTTTGCTGCGTAATGTAGTTGATTGTTGTTCCTGCTCTTAGGGGCTGTTGAGCATATACAAGAAATAACCACTGAATGGGAGATGGTAGTACTTGCACACTAATCTTTAGATTCTAGGTGCATACTTAGCAGGCCAATTTTTTCTGTAGCTGGAAGACCATTTTTAGCATGTAAGAACATAATTTCCTAGGTTCACCCTCTGTGTCACTATTTCTTCCCAAGCCAGGAAGTCATTTTTAGTGCCTCCTCTCATGCTTTTTTTCCCCAGACCAAGACAGCATATTTATTATTTAGGCACACTTCCCTGGCCAACCCTATTATCCTCCTAAAACAAGATGATAACTGCTCCCTAACAACAATGTAACACTTTAGTACATTCATCTACAACCCACTATGTTTCATGAAAATTCAAGTCTCAGAAAATTCTCTGCATATGTCTGCACCATTTCACTTTAAAGAGAACCTGTACTCTATGCAAAACCCCAAAGTGAAAATCTTATAAGTAGACACTACACAAAGCCCAATATTTACTTACGTAACACCTCTTCTGTGCCCTTCTCTGTTTAGGAGAAAGTGTGAATCTGAAAAGGTCTCTATATATCGGCACAGAGGACTTGATTTCTGTATCAAATAATAGCGTCTTTAATTTTTAATTTAGTCCACAATCACCAACGAGCAGTGGGACTAGCGAAGAACTCAATTACAAAATTGCTACTGTACATTTAGAGTTAACAAGCCCTTTGTAAAGTGCAGAGAGGGGTGTCTGCGAAGGCAAACATCATTAGGAGTAAATATTTAAATCAGACTGTCATAAAATTTGCTCTTTAGGTGATCAGAAAGGAGAAACTTACTTGAGGGATCCTGACAAGCGTGGCTGCTGAAGTAGCTTGTCCGCATGGTTTAAAGCCATAAGGTTATCGCCTAATGCCAAAGCAACATAAGCACTGCAAGCAAGGACTGAACACCTATCAAAAAATGAAAAAGATATTTAAAAAAACTGTTACAGTGGTAAATAACCTATAATCACAGTTAAATACTTTTTGTTTATTAGGTAGACCCCAACAGTAATATATACAACCAAAACAACAAACATTTTTGTTTTTGGGAACAGTATAAGCGGTGGCAAAAATGTCCCATCTTTGCTTCATAAAATTAGTTTTATGCCCTTGCTTCATTTAGCAGTGGCCAACGAGAAGTGAGAAGAATCACACTACTGGGAGCTAAACTAGTAATAAAATGCTAACACAGGAGTCAAAAGGGTCAAGGACTGTTCTGATTACCAGTGCTTTTAATGCTCTCCCTATCCCTTTAGGAGAGATTTCCCTAACCGTAGTTATATATACCCCCTTATTTCAGTTTTGCCAGGACATGGACTTAAAGGGGGAAAGCAGTTTACAACAAAACAGTAATTTCACAGTGTTTGTTACTTGGTGTAGCTTGTACATTTGCCATTTTCAACCTGAGAAACAAAAAGTAATAGACTCTGAGACTTGCAATGTGCACTGGCCGATTCGGTTACTGGGCAGCAAAGCTAGCATTTTCTGACAGTTTTTAAACTGAGAAAAATCATAACAATGTCCAACACTAACCAGAGTGCTTTTGCATTTGTCAAACTTTAAAAATAATAGTCTGTTAGGCAGCACATGTTTTGGGGTATTCCATGCAGATTACACACTCTCCGATCCCAAAAAATAAGCCCTCGGAATTTAGTTTTCTCAAATCTTCCTTTACTGTCTTGTGTGTATAATACATGTATACATACAAGTGTTTAATCACAGCCTTTATCAAACCAGTGCCGTGCCTTCTGGCTTCCTCAGGGGTGCCAAAAAATTTGTGGCAGTGGGACTGTGATGTGAAGGGGCTCCTGATTTAAAGGGTGAACTCCGATGTGAAAGAGGGGCTCCTTATGAAAAGAGTGATTCTGATGTGAAAGAGGGGAATATTGGATTTTAAAGCGCTGCACAAACCGTTGGTGCTATATAAATCCTGTATAATAATAATAATTTTAAAGGGGGCACTTTAATGTGAAGGGGGAAAACCACTTTTTATGTTTTTGTGTGGGGTCCCCTTTAAAATCCATGACATTTTTTAGGCTGGGGTGCCTCGAGATTTTGCATTCTTTTAAAGGGTGCCGTGACTAAAAAAAAAAAAAAAAAATGTTCAGAAACTGGTTTATCCTCCAGTACCCAAAATCACTTTTTAGTGTAACTTGTATATTTTCCTGCAGCACAGCATCCTCTGTTATTAAAAATAAAGACCATTTACTTTTAGATAACGATAGTTATTTACACTAGAAAAAAGTGTTTGTTGTGTTTTTGACTTATTGACTCACTGTTGTACTTTTTAGGCTAGTGGGTCTGTTGCATCCCACTGTGCTCTTCAAAAGAGTGTGTCAAACATTACTTCTAAAATGTTACACTCAATGCCAATTACAGAAAAGCACATTTCTTTTGAAAACCTCTATACAGACATACCATGGGGGGGGGGGGGTAATGTGTTATGTTCTTGAAATATTGGTGTACTTTTTAGGCTGGTAGGCCCTTTGCAATCCATTGTGTTTCTCAACAGTTATTTTGTTTTAGTTATTCATACAGTTTGACATATATAATTCGTTTTTCACTACAGTCTATTATACACTCTTCCCTCCCACAATCTGTAAATGAATGCTCCCCTGAATGAGGCCCTGTGCTGAGGATATGTTAATATACATCACCTCCACTCTGGGGGGGAATTCATAAAAACTGGAGCAGCTAGAATTCGAAGCAGTTGCCGATGGCAAGAGGGAAGCCAATTGGTTGCTATAAGAAAACCGCTCTAGTTTTTATGAATCCCCCCCCAACCCCGTGTGTCACTAATAGCTCTGGTCTCTACTAACAATCAGAAAGCAAATGGAGTGGTTCCCAATCATGTTACTGTCAGCTATGACATAGTGATCATATGCACGCTGGTGGCTTCATTTACAAAATAAGCCTAGCCTTCAACCTTGCGATGACACTACAAATCCAAACTAACAAAAAGGTCTAATATGTCCTTAACAAAAAGGACATAACCGTTAGAGACATACTAATGCTAATAAAATTGAGCTAAGCACTTAGCCCACAATGACCTCTGGCCACATAAAATATTACATTATATTGCATTTTTTACTCTACTCTTAAACAGATATATATCCCTAGCATTTGTACGTCTCATGTCAGTGTGGTATTCTAAATTTCCTAGAACTTTCCAAGTGTTGCTGGTCAAACAATACACCTCCTTGGGATGAAGGTTTATAGAAAGGTCTACATCAAAACAATGCCTAGTGTAGCTCAAGATGCCACAGAATCAAGATGCTTCACTCACACATCCACTATTCAGGATATGTTGGCACTGAAGTGTCAGAAAAGACCAGGGAAATGACTCAGTGGTAAAAGCAGAAGACAATTAGAGAGTGTGTACGAAAAAAAGAACCACCTGCTGCAGCATATCCAAATAAAGGGACTTTGCTAGTCCCTTTCACATTCAGGCACCTTGAGGAAGGCACCTTGCGAGGCCCCCAAAACACTGGCTTTCCTGATTTATAGGAAAATTATTTTACAAATAAAGTGAAAAGGAATATTGTTGGGAGTACTGGCGAGATCTTGTCTTCATCCGGGCATTAAACGGTGCCATCCATAGCAGTCACTGGGAGCCCACATCAGCTACACTAGTCAAGCACTGCAAGGTGCGCAGCTCACTTATCACAATTTTACAGTCAAAAGCAAACCTGGAAACTTGAAGGCCAACAGTAAAGATCAAAACCTATATGAACCTCTGATTTATTTCTGCTAAGTGATGAGAAAGGAAAATACTGAACATCTTTTATAATGACAGTTCAATCACAACTTCTGATTTGCACATGTAAGATTTGCCTGAAAATCCTCATAAAGATCTGATATCTGTGGACAATCCAGGCTATTAGGATTCATGAACAGTATGATTCTCTGAAGACTGGACAAATCTGTACACATCTTAGGGTCCCCACACACCTTACGATTATCGTACGATAATCGCGGGAAATCCCGCGATCGTACGATGATCGTAAGGTGTGTGGAAGCCGTGCGACCTCTACTACTGTGAGGTCGCACGACTTTAAACTTACGGACATGTTTGAAAACCCGCCGAGCATCGTACGATGTTCGGCGGGTTTGTGGCATGTCCGTACGATAACAGCCGTACGGGCCGGTGTGCGTTCGGCATTGCGGTCATCGGAAGCCCACCCTTCAGGGGGCGTGGCTTGCGATCATCGCAAGTACGATCTGCCCATGCAACATAGGCAGATCGTACGTTTTTTTAAGTACCTTACAACCATCGCAAGACAAAAGTCTTGCGATGGTTGTAAGGTGTGTGCCCAGCCTTAGGATGAGTTGAAATATTTGAAATTACACAGATTCCCCTGATTTTCAAACTTGATTTTGTTCACTTTGTGTCCATGACCATCAACACATAGCAGAGCACTGCCTGTCTGTCTCTGGAATCAGTACTTTCCGAGTAACTGACCTGGAACAAGTGAAACCCGGACTCCTGGCCTGCAGACTGGTTTCAAGTCAGTGATAAAACCAATGGCAGCCTATTTCTTTTAGTAGAAGATTAACTTATTAACAGATCAGAGGGCTGCAGGATTCCAGAATAATGCATGCATGTAGTTTGAAAATTGTAAAGCAAAATTCATATCAAAATGTTTGTTTTTGTTTTATTCATTTTAGATCGAGTAGGAGAGATATGGAAACTCTTGGGTTTTGTAATTGCTTAGGGGATTTCCAGTCACTTCCCATACAATGACAATGGCAGCCAGGGCAGGAAGTAAAGAGGAAGCTCTCCTACCGAGATACAGACAGCAATAAAACACCTATTGTTAGCAGTGTGGGTGGGGAATGATTAAGGCATCTGTCAGAAATGTATTGCTGATTGTGTCTCTGTTGGAGAGATTCCTTTACACTTCCTGTTCCAGTGGCTTTGGACACTGGGCCAGAAAGCGAGGGGAAATCTACCCGACAGGAGGTAGACAGCAATAAAAACATATAATTTGAAAATAGATTATGAAAAATTTGGAAGGTGTACATACTAGCAAACTAGTTATAAGAGAAATGGTGGGTTTTCCATCTTCCCCCCACAATACAAACTGAATAAGGGCTCCTTCACACCATTAGCAGTGACTGGAATTTTTCAGCAAGTGATCAATGCCAGTAACTGCTAGGGCACATCTATGTGCTCTGTTCACACCACAAAGTTGTTTTTGCTGTGCACCAAAGACTACCACTGATTGGTGTCTACGCTTTGTTCACTTCAAATAAAGTTTTTAAAAAAAACAAAACGTTGTGATGCATTGAAACAGTGCATTGCGCATTACAATGCTGAGGTGGTCACACAAGCTGATAACCAGTTAATCAAGGGCATTTGATTATCAGCATCTGGCCACTTAGCCTCCTAATTCTAATGGAAGCAGTAGGGGTGTAGTTCTTTTATCCACACATGGCGTCTCCATTTTGACTCTGTTCGTAAAATAAGTAATGAAAGGGTGTAAAATGTCATGTGTTGTTTTTCATCTGAGGTTGACTATTTACCTAATTTTAAGACCTGCTAAAGGACTAGATGATTTTTATTATGTCCCGATTCTTTAAACCATAGAATTCAAATAGGGTGTACTTTCTTTTTCACACTACTCTATTGTTTCTTACAAACGAAATCGCAATCGAACTTTGCAACTCACAAATAATTTTGCTGTGCAATAGATGTCCACATGAACAGTGTATAAGAAATATCCACCAGGCAGACTGCAGCCTCTTACTAATATATATAAAACATATATTAATAAGAGCCTGGCAATGTCAATTCATACCTCAGATCTTACACACAGATGAGGATATTCATCCCACCCCCACGTGACAGCTGTAGGTGCAGTCGCCAATCACCAATGTGATCATCAGTATTGTCACATGGGAGGAAG